CACAGATTAAATATGGCTTTGTCGAAGGAAGAGAGAATTGAACTGGTACTTCACAGTGGATGGTCATATCGAAAAATATCAGATCAAATTTAATGCACGTCATCCCAAGAGGGTTCCACTTGGCTTTTCCACGGTGGCGAAAGTGGCTAAAAAGTTTAAAGAAACGGGCAGTGTCATGGACAAACCCCGTTCTGGACGCCCAAAATTATCAGAAGAAACGAAAGAAATTTTCATGGCTAAAATTTATGCTAGCCCCCAAAAAATCACTTCGCAGGATATCCATGGAGCTGGGTGTTCCCAAAACAACCCTCAGTCGTATCTTAGAAGAGCAAAAGTTTCATAAAGAAGAAGAAGGTGTCCTCAATGAAAATCACAGATGCAACACACTTAATTGAACGCATAAAGAGTGAATGTGCTAAAATCGACTGCAATGTGGAGTTATTGCATCGAGTTCACGTGAATTTTGCAAAGCGCATCAACCTTTGCATCACAAATGATGGAAATCATGTTGAAGATGTTATTTGTTAATATTCCAATTGAATAAAATGTTGTTGAAAATTTCATTTCTTGATAATCTGCATTTTTACCTATGTGTTTAGACTTTAGGGACACCCTGTACATTTACATTCACTATTATATGTTTATGACTATATGTTCCTGTTACCACTATACATTTACATTGACCATTATATGTTTATGACTATATGTTCCTGTTGACACTATAGATTTACATTTACTATTATATGTTTATGACTATATGTTCCTGTTGATTACTAAACATTTACATTGACCATTATATGTTTATGACTATATGTTCCTGTTGACACTATACATTTACATTGACCATTATATGTTTATGATTATATGTTCCTGTTGACACTATAAATTTACATTCACTATTATATGCTTATGACAATATGTTCCTGTTGACACTACACATTTATATTCACTATTATATGTTTATGACTATATGTTCCTGTTGACACTATACATTTACATTGACCATTATATGTTTATGACTATATGTTCCTGTTGACACTATACATTTACATTGACCAACAGAAATCTGACTTT